GCCCGGGTGATGCAAGGAGGGCGGGAGGTTTCGCGGCGCTGGTGTGGGGCAAAGCGGGGCGCGGGTTGCGTCAGGCGGGGTGTCCGGGCCGGGCTCGGCGTGTCCGGCGGTGCTGGGGGCCAGATTCCCGCCGGGGGATGCCAGCGGATCGGCCGCTGCCGGAACACAGGGGCCGCCGTGCCCAAAAGGCAGAAGCTGGAGTGGAGCGAGCGGGCCAGCCCTCCTCAGCCCGCCCCGCTTTGGCTTTATCCCAGAACCTGAGGTGCTGCGTTGGAAAACCGAGCAGTTAATGTTTAACAGGGTGAAGCGACAGCTCCTGACGTCAACAGGGCCAAGGCGTAAGGCACATACATTTGAAACAGAATAATAACATCCACACTAATGGCAAGGACATACGTGGTGCTGAATCCGACGTTTTCCCTAGTGCTATATCCAGGCTGGAGTGTCGCCTTGTAATACATAACATTTGTTACGTGGAGGGGTGCAAGTGCTGTCTGTCTATGGGATGGACACCCAGCTGTCAACCAGCTTTAGGCAGGTTGTGACAGCCAAAGGGGTGGACTTTCATCCATCAGTTTCAGTAACATCACAAAGTTACTCGCTTTGGTGAGAGAGGAGGAGAAAGAATGAAGAAGCGAAACCGCCAGTTTGTCGTTCTTGTCCTTTGCGCTTAATCAATCTAAGCAGTCTAGTTACAGCCTTTTATTTAGTTTCCTGTTGGTCCCCATCCAACTGGCACCCACCTTTCCACTCAACAGGGTGTTGCAGCTGCAGCACCTGCAGTCTGTGGTGGGCGCTCCCGGCACTGTGGTGTGTTCATCACGGGTGACAAGAGCCTGCACAGCTCTCACATCTGCCCCGCTGCTCCGTGCTTTACACAGCTCATCCTTTTCCCCTGCCCTGCACAACTGACTCTCTGACTTGTCACCATGGATGACCCTTCACAAGGTCAGCCTTGTAACGGAGCCCAAAGCTCCTTCATTTTCCTCTCCACTTGCGCTTTTCCCAGTCACCTTCTCTGTCTTACTCAGGCTCAAAGGTATGGGGTTAGCATGGCATGCTCCCAGCCCTTCACACCACACACCCGTGCTGGCACAGGCTTAAAGCCTCTTAATCCTTTTCTGATGGTCCCTTCCATAGGCAGAAGGTGAATCTGTCACCTGTTTGTACAGCTGCTCTATTCAGAGTCCTTAGTCAGACCAGAAAAAGCTCCAGAAATTGTTCTTATCAGCTGTCTGTATCAAAGCTCCGTTTGGCAAAACAAGAAATGAATCTCTAGTCTTACATTTTTTCAATCTTGTGGTTCCTGTCCCCTAACATACAAGACTCCTGCCTTAGCAGGAGTTTGTCAAAGCTAAAATGATGTGGCCTTTCAGTCAAATGAAATCAGTGTCCTCTGAGAATTAAACTAGTCTTCTGTGTCCTGTTGTATATGTAGAGCAAGTTGTATATTTTTCATATTTAGTTCTTTATTTTTTGTTTCCTGCTAAAATCAAGGAAATTTGAGCAACCTCCCCCCAGTGTGTAGTTAACAAAAGCATTAAAACACTTGTCTGTAGGTGAATCCTCATTATTAAGAGCATAAAAAGAGACAAATCAGTCTAAAAGATAAGATGAAGAAGGTCTTGCTAGGTTCTGGTCTAAGTAACACTGGTAAAAAAAATCTGACCTCTTTCTTCAGCTTTCCCCAGGATGAGAATTTTATCCATTTTCTTGGTTTGTTCAGTCTGGGAGGGGAGACCTCATTGTGGTCTTCAACATCCTCATGAAGGGAAGCAAAGAGGCAAGTGCTGACTTCTTCACTCTCGTGACCAGGGACAGGACTTGAGGATCAACACCATGAAGCTGAGTCAGGGGAGATTTAGGCTGGATATCAGGAAAAAGTTTCTCATCCAAAAGTGGCTGAGCACTGAAACAGGCTTCCCAAGGAAGTGGTCACAGCACCAAGCCTGTCTGGGTTCAAGAAGCATTTGAATAACGCTCTCAGGCACATGGTGTGATTCCTGGGGTCATGGCCAGGAGTTGGACTCGATGATCTTGATGGGTCCTTTCCAACTCAGCATCTTCTGTGATTCTGTGATCTGAGAAATGCACTGAATTATGCATGTGTGACAAACGAAGCTCCAGGTATCTTATCTGCTGGTACTAAGCTAAGGAAAATTGGACCAAGAAATTAAAAATTGTATCATTGGGAAGTGACTGCATGCTTGCTGGTGAGGGAGTAAAATTGCTCCTTTCCTTTGCAGAGCTGTGTCATTTGTGTGTGTGCCTTTGGCAAAAGGCTCTGCTGCATGGGCGAGCCAGATTTGCAATGGAGAAACAATGTGTACAGCAAAAGCCTCAGGGGACCAGCATCAGATCCCACACCAGTTAAACACTACAGGTCTCTGCTCCCTGCAGTGCTGTACTACCAGATCAATGAGGTTAGAAACTCCTTCTGAAGTCCCTGATTTTCTTGTATAAATTGGGATGCTGCTCCATCATTAGGAACACAGCCTGAGGGAAGACGGTAACTGAGTTTGTTGCATATACAGCAAGAGGTTAAGAATTTTCTTCTGTTGTTTCAAGCTTTCTTTCATTCATTTCTTATCTTGACTGTAATTTCACTTTACTTTGGTTAAATAAACTGAGAGCATGAGGATCTGCTCAGGCAAATGCCTGAGCAGAAAAGGTGTCCTGCAGGCAGTTATAGGTGCAGCTATGTATGTGAAGCAGGTGGGTGTGAAAGAGAGGGTTGAGTGTCTCTTGGTATGGTTGGAGCTTGTGTTCAAAAGGCCAAGGGAGCAGCTTGCCAAATTGAACCACAGTAATGTTCAAACAGGTGTGAGAGAGGATGTGGAGCAGCAGTGGAGTTAGCTGTTGGGGAATATGATGTAGGTTTTGTAGTACAACAAAAGGAGATGGAAAAAAACTACAGACTTTCAACAGTTTAAAAGTGCCTTAGGGAAAAAGAAATGGAATATAATTGTCATCTTCTGTTAATATAATAATATTTTTTTAAAAAAAACCCTTAACAGTAGTAAGAATGTCTGCTTTTCCCTGGAACCATTGGGAAAGAGAAAAAGGCAATCATAGCTTTGTTACTCCTGAAACAAGTCTTTCCATGTTTCAGGAAAAGGAGGAGTTAGTTTCCCTTTAGCAGTATGTGCTATTCTTCCCCAGAGCAGGCATTCCCATGTTAGTGTAGGGTGACCAGCAGTGCCAGGGCTGCCTGTTTTTCAGGATAGTAGTGAATCACCTTAGAGCCAGAGGAACCAACAACAGGGCTGGCATGACACATAGCAGTGGCTTCTGTGTCAGGCTCTTATTTACTTCAATAAACTGAGGGCACATACTGGGTCTTTCCAAAAGTTGTTCTGTTCAGAAAATATCAGCTGGGAATAGGAGGATTGCCAGATCATTTCCAGATATCACACATCTTCCATCAGCTTGGCACTCACTGCTTTCCTCTCTACAATGAGTAGACAGGAGAATCTAAAACGAATTGTCCTCTTTTCCTGAAGGCTTCAGTAAAGATTAAAGGTACTGGAACTGAAGTTCAAACAATGCCACAGACTTTATAAAGTGATGTAAATCAGTGTTATTCACCTGATATTCATAAAGCCACATCCACATGCATCACCAGGGGTCTTACTCACTTTTGTTTGAGGAATACAATTCTTGTGGCATTTACAAATCCCCTCCAGATGTGAACACTTACCGTAGAAACATGCAGTTAGCCTTGTTTCAAACATGGAAATGAGAAGCCACATTGTCAAAGTTTCTGTATTAAAACTTGGGGATCAGGAAAGACGTATAGAACAGTAGGAAATAGATGTATTTGAATTTGTTTGCTGCCTCCAAAGGGAACACACTTCCATTATTAAAGACATTAACTCATGGGGTTAAATACAGTCCTGAGCAAAGAGAACAAAAAATGGCGAAGGACATACCAGTATGTTAAAGAGAACAACTCTAAAATCTGGGGGTGGGGGAAGTGTTGTAAGGACATCAGACTGAAAAACAAGTCTTGGACAAGGTGGTAGCTTGGGTGATTCTTCTGCAGGACAGAACTTAAGCTGATGCTGACCTACTCCACATTCAGTCTGTTCACCCCATGACTGCTGTAGCTCTGATTGTTGTCAGCTGTGTTGGGAGATTTTGCAGTGTGCCCAATTCACCGATGAGAATGACAAACGTTATGGAGACATTACAAACTCGATTTGTATTTGAATTAGTTATATGAGGGGAAAAAAAGAAATCCATATATCTAATTAGTGTTTTAACATGATATCAGTACCCTACTAGTGGCCTGGTAGTTGGCTGAGGGGTTCTTAAAAGCCAAAATGATAGTGCTGGGCTTTCTTAGGGTTGTACACCAGAGTGATCTGCTGCACAATGGGTTTTGCTGAGAAACTTCAAGCTGATGGGCAGTTTTGACTCCTCTAGCAGGAGCTGGACTTGATTGCTCTGGTCATCCTGTCCCTCTCTCATATTCCATGTTGCTGACAAAGTCCCTCCCAGCACTAGTACATAAAAAATTCTCTATAAGGAATCAAAACTACAGTTTCAGATTTGTTTTTTTTACTGGTTAAAAGTAGATAAAGTGAGCAGAGACTGAGGAAACTAGTAGTAGTAGTAGAAACTAGTAGTACAACTAGTGTAGAGTTGTAGCAGGAGCTCAGGGAATTTTGTATTTCCCCCCTTCAGGGTAGGAAAGCAGCTCAAACACTTCCTACCAGCTTAGCTTGAGGGATGAACAAAGTGGACACTGAATTTAAAATCTGAGTACAGACTTGTGGAAACTCCTTTTGCTGGAGCCCACAGCATCCCAAACCTAGGAGCTCATCTGAGTGCCAGGCTGTGAGTCACAGACTAGATTGGTTCAACTTTTGGTACAGTATTACACCTTGCTCTTTGCTCCCCATGCTCTCACTCTGCTGCCCAAACACTGGAGGGGCATTTTGAGGAGTCCTGTGGATGTCCACACTGGTAGCTTTAAGGCGAGACACAGGTGGAGGAGGCATGGGCTCACAAGGCCTGGGTTGGGAACCTCAGCCCTGGCTGTAAAAGTCAGCATCGTATCTGGGCTGAGGTAATTTCATTTAGTTTCACTTCAGGAAGAGATTTAGTTTCAGTTCCAGTATAAAAAGAAGAAAAATGGGTTTATAGCTAAAATTTTAAACAGGCCTGAGGGAAAACCTGAAGGAGCTGGTTGATACAAGCAGTATAGACTGAAGAGTCCAAAGACAGAAATGTGGAAGAACAACAGAAATTTTAATTCGAAGGTAGAAAGCAAAATCTATGATTTGCTTCCTACAGTAGCGAAGGATAACTGTTTAGGGAAGTAACCAGCTGATTTCAAGAACAGTTTAAGAAATAATAGGGAACTCATACAGGATAGAAAAGGAATAATGCAACAGAGAAACTTCTGTTTTGGCACTTAGCTATATAATGAAGAGCTGCAGAAGTTTGGGCCAATTTGCACATTTGTAAAGAGTTTAAAACCCAGTAAGAAGATTTCTAGTCAAATAAAAAGAGGATCAAGATTGAAGAGAGATTACAGGCAGGGATATCACTGTCAACACCAAAGATACCTTGGATGCAAACCAATAAAAGACAGGATGGTGATTGCTGTGAGTCCTTTAAAAAAAATTACCACATCTGAAGGAAAAGAAGCACTGTTCTTAGAACTCCTGGAGCTTGTGACAAGGGAGGTGAAAAAAGAGACACAAACCAAAAGTTTATTAGCAAAGGATGTAAATATATAAATGGGGCAGGTACCACAACTGGAAAATAGGAAGTGGTTCCTATATTTGAAACATGAGAAATAAACGGCAATTTGGCAATTGAGCAAACAAAAGCCCTGTTATTGAAACTGAATTCACACAAAGGGTTATGAGTATTAACTGGGCATGGATGGTTTAGCTTGAAGATTAAGAAGAATATTCTAACCTGCAGAGCAACAAGTTTTTAAATCTGCACTTCACCCCCACTCCTCCATATGAAGGGCCAATAACAGAAAAATAAGTTCTTTATGTAGATTTAACTGCAGCAGAGATTATGTGATGTCATTACCTCTATTACCTACTGCCTTTCTATCCAGTGCTCTTGTTTGATGAGCAGAAAGTTTTCATTTCAGGAGTATCACAGGAAGCAGCTGGATTATAGCCAAGCACCAGAATTTCCACAGATTTGTAGTGTTGGAGAGGCTTCATCAGTTTGCAGTGATAAGGTTTTGTCCTGACGCACTTGCAGCTGTTCTTACCCAGATTGTCACTGTGTCTTCCTAACAAGCATTGCTCCTCTGTGGCTTAGATGCTATGGATTCATTTTATACAACACAGCTAGCTGGAGTATGGCCACAGAGCCCTAAACAAGCACAAGCTGAGAGTTCTGAAATATCTGACTGATACACTAATGGCAATAAGCAAGGGCTGCAGAACCAATGCAAACCCTGGATCACCATCTCATCCCTTAACTACTGAGGAACCTCAGATAAAGCAACATTACAGTATCATCTGGAATTCTGAAGGGTAGAAGGAAGTTGAAATCCATGTTCTACTTAGCAGCAGAGAAGTGAGCTGTAAAGTCAGCCACCAAGCTTTAAGAAAGGACCAGGAGTAGCCAGCATGCTTTTCAAAGAGAGGAGGCAGCAAGCTGCCAAGTGTAATAAAGACACGAGAGATTTCTCCTTGGGAACAAAGCCCATAAAACACACAGCTGAAGAGATGAGAGAGAGGCCTGTAAAGAAAGAGTAAGGGCAAAGTCTGCAACAAGACCAAACAGAACAAAGAGGAACAAAGTCCTCCCTCTACTAGGCATCTGGTAATGCTGACATACCCACTGTAAGGAGAGAGCCAGCCTCCTAGCAGCCCTGCCCCTCTTTGCAATGGCCAGAGGGATGGATTTGCACCTGAATAGTCACTAATAGTCTTCGTCTGAGAGAGGAAGAAACCCCACCTGCTACCCACTCATACAAGTCCTTATCAAGGCAAAAAAGAGAGTAGGAATAGTGCTTTTGTTTAGACTCCTGATTGCTCCAGGGCAGGAAGATGTGTGTGTTGGCTGTGCAATCAAAGCAATAACCCAGCCCCTCAATGTGTGGGACTTATGAATCAGTGTGGAGAAAGAGTGATAAGTGGCTATCTCGTTAGGAACTTCCTCCTTCATTGCATCCCTTCTCCTTTACAGTTTAAAATGTGTGTGACTCACTTTCTTTGTATTTCACTCTCTTGAACATTTGAGTTGCAAGCAAATGATCTACGTAATGTGATGCTTAATGCAGAGGAAGACAGATGCTTTATGCTGTTGTATCAGTAAAAGAGGTTGTTTATTTCTAGAATGACCAAAAATCTCATTGTTGTGACCAAAAACCCGAAGAGTCCTGAGATTGTAGCTCATAGAAAGCAGATTATTGTTGGTGACAAGTACTGAAAGATTTTGCTTTAAATGTGGCCATGCTGGGCAGAATTTTGTGTTCCAATGTAAAGACTACATCTCTGTCTGAAGGAAATTTGCAGTCCTGCTGAAAATAATTTGCCTTTCTATTTTAGTATCTCCGGCACATATGTTGAAAACTGTGGTTTGAAAAATAGGTGTAGATGTGTTGTATGTGATCTAGCATGTTTGGTTTTGTGGCCAAACAGGATGGAGTCTGTCTCAACAGTAGCTCCATTCTTTTCATGATTTCCTAAGTCATGTCCACTTAGGTTTTGGGCACTTAAGTTTTTGGCTATCTCAAAATAAAACCCTACTTTCTTTGCACTCTAATTTGGTAACCTAGGTCTGCAGTTTTCTTTTCTGAATCTTCCTGTGATTAGCCCAGCAGATCCAATGACCTGTCCTTCCTAATTACAGGTGCTCTTCACAAAGATGAGGAGCAGAACGTGCCAGTGATCACCACCTCCCTTAAAGCCCAATGCTTTTTATTTAGAACAAAATGTTATGGAAAAAAGCTACTTAATAAGCCAAGAAATGACTCACACACCTGCTAAGTGTTGCCTGTCTTCCTTGTGGTGCCCTGGCAAATATGATAAGCAAGATCTGCCAGCTCTTTAATTCAGAGAGAGCATCTGTGTATCAGCTCGTGCTGTCTCTGCCCCAGAAGACAAAAATGAGTGCCAGGATAACAGGCATGAGAACTTGTGTGAAGACACGCAGGTTCCACAGAAACACTTCTCATTCAGCCTGGAGCACAAATGTATAAAGTAACATGTGCTGCCCAGCAGTCGGTCCACACCATCCTTCCCATCCTGTGGGCCAGCAGTCAGTTCTGCAAAGCTGGGTAGACTCCTGCCTGTAACCAGTCATGCTGCTCTCTGAAGTCAAGTGCCTGCCACCTTCTTGCATGTGGGAACAGCAAAAACTTGCGTGGTTGGCAGCTGAGAATACTCAAAAGTAAGCAGTAGCTGTTGGATTTTCTGTATGGCCAACGATGGGCATTGTCCTCCAGTGCTCAGCCATGTGCAAGATCAAAACAAGAGAAGCATCTGCCTGGGCAGAGCTGTTGTGTGTGTTGGTTGTGGCCAGTCCTGGGTTGTCCTGGTGCATTCCATGCTTCATAACCTTTGTGGCAATTTGCTGTAGCAGCATTTGAAAGCTTGGTGTTACCATTTCCACCATGGGGAAATCATCATGACCCTCAAATACTTTAAAACCATTGCAGATTATGAAGATAAAATTTTTTCAGCATTAAAGCTCCTTCAGTTGAGTTTTTAGCAGATATGATGCTTCCAAGCCCTCTGGAATGAGAGGTCAGAAAGTGCAGCTGTAGCCCATGTGGGAACAGAGTTTTTCTAGTGAAATAAGATTAATCACGTCTTGAAGAGTAGTTATGATTTTTGTGGTCTTGTTACCAGAGAGGCAATGGCTCTGGTCAAAGCCTCTTTGAAATCTGGTTTGGCTTTACAAAAACCCCTGCGTTTTGTGTGTCTTATTGCGCTCTTTTTGGGCAGGGAAGGTTTCCTTTCTGCCCCGTATGGAACCCCGGGGCCATGTAGCAAACAGGTTGTGCTCTCCTGCACTATGAAGGAAACAGAAAGCTTCTGAGAACATATCCTATCAAGTCATAGGCTGTGGTGGTAACAGAAGGTAGGTAGGAGGAGCACCAGTGTCCAGGCCTCAGGCACTTGACTGCCTGGCCAAGACTGCGGTTGTAGTGGCTGCAAAGAGAGGAGCTGATCAACAGGGTGAGTCAGAGCACCAGCATAAACTGAGGTGAATTCCCTGTGGCTGCCCTGTGTGTAAGGGGGTGTGTTTGGGGGAAGCTGACTCCAGGCACGTATAAGACTGGGAGCTGCTGGTCTGATTCACCTGTGCTCCCTGTGACACACGGCACTGTCAGTGCAGAGCCCTGGGCTGCCCGGCTCTACCACCGGCCTTGCAGTGACCACTGGTGTTTCTGCCTCAGCTCTGTGTCACCTAGACATGCCCATGCCTGCAGACACTGCCTTCACCTCCCTCCTCCAGGCAGAAACCAGAAGTCCCTGCCCAGAAGCTGTGTCTTTGCTTGTGTTCTCTGGGCATAAGTCACGGGCGCGCTTTGTGTGCAGTGGCAGCCCTGTTGCTTGTGCTGTGTCAGAATGCCTGAGCAAGCAGGCTCCTGCAGCCCTGAGCAGCCTCTCCATGAACTAATTATGGCTTCCCTGCTCCCTTCCCATGTGTGAGAAGGTTTCTGCCAGCTTTTTGGTGGAATGCGTGGCAAGGAGGGGTAGCTCACCAGTTTCTCTAGGTGCAGAGAAGATGTTTCTGCTGCACCTTCTCGCCGTGTAAGCAGCGTGTGGGAAGTGTTGACAGTGCAGTTCTGCGGGCCATGCTCCTAATTGGGAGGCAACAGGAAAGTGACTCATGGGACATTGCATCCTCTTCTGTGCAGGCAACACGGTGACTTGAAGAACAGGCACTGGCCCACACAGAAGCTGTGGGATTGACAGCAAAATGTTATAGGCTGACAGTGACCAAGCTCTTGGCTAGTTAAGATCATGACTGAAGTAATCTGAGCTCCTCTTAGGAGTTCCTCAGCTAT